CTTAGTCGGCTCGGTTTGGTTTTCCAGTCTCTCTGTTGTGAGAGCGTTTGTGGGCAGGCAGGGTTGAGAAAAGATGTTGCTATCTGGTCTTCAGAGTTTCTACCCCCATTGCCTGGGAATGTGGATTTTGCTAGCCCAGGCAGCCTCTTTCCACGCCTTTCTCTCCCTTTCTGCTTGTTAACTTCCACCAATGACCCAGTAAGCTCACTTAGTTAGCCTGAGGTTGCCTAAACTCCTCTATTGTTTTTTTTTTCAGTTTACTGGCCATTGTCACCCGAGGCAACTGGTTAAGCTTAATCCTGGCTGGACAGTTTCACCTGCATTGGAGGTGCTTTCAGGGACTCTGGAGGCTTGGAGTCCGCTGTAGGCAGCTTTAATTTTTTCGGATGCAAAACAGTGACCCATGGCATCCCAGCCCATTAAGGCCTTGAGAGCTCTCTAATGACAACACATTACTTCTCTGGAGTGAAAAGGATGTTAGCATTAGAGAATGGAAGGGCACATGACTTTGGGGAATGTCATGTGAAGAAGTGATTTTATCCATCAACCTCACTCTCCTTCATCAGTGCATCCATTTGTCTATCCACCAAACCGATAGACAGACACATTTGTGGAGTGTTCACTATGTGCTAACGACGGGGCATGGGGGACATCAGTGAGGAAAAGAAGCACTCTGACTTGTGTGCACTTCTAAAGTGCTTGCTGACATGGAGATGGACTGAAGAGGGTGGCGAGGTCTGGCTGGGATGCTGCAGCTGGGGGCAGTAACTACATGACTTGCACTCTCTTGCCACAGTCTCCCTTGAGGTTTGTTTGCAGGCTTCTGAGTGAAAATTTCGTGCATGTCTAATTCTAGATGGTTGTATAAGATACCTGTGTTTCCTTCAATATCAAAAATAAGACGGGCATGGTGGGCGATGCCTGCAATCCTAGCATTCAGGAGGTGGAGGCAGAGGGGATCAGGACTTCAAGATCATCCTCAGCTTCACATTGAATTTGAGGCCAGTCTGGTATTCATGAGACCCTGTCTTGAAATAAATACATAATAAATAAATGTATAAAACGAAATTCAAAGCATGTTTTCAAATGTCTACTAGCCTAAGAATGAAAGTGCTACCCCAGGAAAATGCACCAGGCTCATCCTGGGACTGTAAGAGTCCCTTGGTGTGTGTATCTAGGGAGAGTGTCCATAAGAACAAGAGAGACAAGAGTGCAAATCCAGAGAGAGAGAGAGAGAGAGAGAGAGAGAGAGAACAGAGGGAGAGAGACAGAGACAGAGACAGAGAGATGGAGACAGACACAGAGAGACAACATCACACAAATGATATGCAGAAATGTTTCACTTGGATACAGGTAGAGATGACAGAGGGGCCCTGGAGCTGGGGAGCTGAGTTTGAACCCCTAATGTTTATGTTAAAAGCTAAGAACAGCAGGGCATGCTTTAATTCCAGCACCAGAGAGGTGGAGATAGGAGATAGGGGATCTGGGGCAGGTGGAGGTGGGAGGGGCCCTGGGGCAGGTGGAGATGGGAGGGGCCCTGGGGCTTAACTGTCAAGCCAGTATAGCCACATTCGAGCTTCAGGTTTAGTGATATATCCTGTGCCAAATAGATAGGTAGATAGGTAGATAGATAGATAGATAAATAAATAAATAAATAAATAAATAAATAAATAAATAAATAAATAACAAGGAGCTAAATAAATGTGGGCTTTGAAAGAAAGATTAAGAATTTTTGAAGAGGCAGGAAAATCAGTTTAAAAGCTGAGAATTGCATATGGAGATTTTACATAAAATCTCTTCTTCAGAGCATAATAAATTATCCTGAATTCCAAGAGCACAGAGGTTTGAGAGCATGTGAGGCAGGGAGGAGCTAGGAGAGGGACTACAGATAGATTGAAGAGGGCAGATGATGTCACTACAAGAGTCTGAATAAAACAGAGCCCGTAGTGCTGTGGGTGGAGGTAAAAAGTCTCCTAAGAGCCATGGACAGGTTTGTGCCCTGGCTACATCCCTGAGTGGGACTGAGACAGACTGGGAGGCAGTTACAGGGCATCAGGCCAGGATCTCCTTCACTGACTCCTGTTCTCATTAAGTCTTGGGGTGAGGCCTTGCATTCTTTATGTTCAAACATTTCATGTAAAACCCAAACACGGTGGCAGGTTGGGGCTCCCAAGGAAAGGTGGCGGCCTAGAGAGGTGAAGCCGTTTCCCAATGTCGCCAGCTAATGATTGGCAGAGGTAGGACCCAAATGCAGTCCTTCTGTTCCTAGTCACGCTTTCCCAGCTGACCCGGGCTCAGAGTTTTGACCCGCGTGGGTTTCTCATTTACCTTCTCTCCTGCGTCTTTCTGCACGGATGGAGGGAAGAAAGGGCAGGGCTCTTTTCAGGGTGCTGTAAGTTTCGTGTCCCAGCCAAGGTCAGTTCAGCATTCTGATTAACATAAGGTAGATAATAGGTGCCTAACATCCGAGGACATAAATATTTTAATGTAGCCATATCGTGGTGCAGTTTCTTTCAGACCAGCACTTCAGTTTTTATTTACTTTTATGTGTTGCTGGCTTAGGGCCATGAGGTTTTCCATCAACAGAAATGGCTGCTGATTGAAGCTATTTGCTTTCTGCTCTAGCAACGAGGAGAGACCTTTTCTCCAAAGCAGGTGTTTTTAGATCAAGATGGGCTGTTGAATGGCACAGTGGGGAATACACTTAGCAAAGCAATGCAGTAAATTGAACTGGTGTCGGCTCCTGATTTAATGCGCTCCTCAATTTCGACATGAATTATATATTCTTTTTCAGATTGATCATTTCTCCCGCTGATAAAGGGACAGTGCCGTGCCCAGTGGGTTTGGCCCCTGACCTAAGAAATACTCGGATGCATCAAAATTCCCTGGGATGACAACCTGGATGAACTCTGGAGACTGTAAATCTGCAGCGCCCATGAGGGGTGGGGCAGGTTCAGTGAAGAGCTCTCCCCTCCCTTGAATGTATTTGCATCGACTGACTGCCATGACGGCCAGCAATCCCTCCTCAGCTTTGTACCCAGTGTAATTTGCAAATTGATTGTTATTCTTTGGAAGCCTTTCTTAATTAAATAGTAACTGCACTTATTATCCTCAGACAAAGGAGATAGATGAGTGTCTTGACAGAGGACAGGCTTAGTTCCTTGGATAGCAACTGTCGGTTAGAGTCTTTTTCTTGGACTGCAGTGTGCTTAACGCCTGGATGTCTCATCTCTCTTTACAGCACTTCGCCTACAGGGAGGGCGAATCAAGCAAGGCAGCATCACCTTATAAAGAAATACAAATGCGATGCTTTGCTTCTCCACGCACTTGTTTCAAACATTACCTCCTCATAATGTGTCTGACAAACAGTTTCTGATGAGCAGATGGGGAAAGTGAGGCACAAGGAATTTACAGGTTTTCCCAAGCTTGTCCAGAGCAGAAAAAAGGGACAAGGATAAAGCATGGGTTGCCTTGTGCTCCAAGCTGAGTTAGATCCAAACGAGTTTCTTCAGCATCATTTTTGGGCCCCCTGAAGGTGGCTTGAACTGCCACCTTTCTAACAAGGCTGGTGGCTGTGAATCCTTGGTAGGTATCAGAAATAATTGGGAGTAAGTATGTGGCTTGGTCTACAGCTGTTTTTAGAAATGTGGATCAGGATCCAGGGTCTGCATCTTCTAAGTTCTTCTAATAAATGTGATGGCCAATCGTGGTGCAGAATGCACATCCAAGCTTTTATGTTACACAGGATCACACAAGGAAACGTGAAGCTGAGTCAAGATGCCTGGCATCTGAACCCAGTCAATGGGGACACTTGGGAACAGGTAGTGGCACCAAGAGAACCTCAGAACCCTTGGAAGGCAGAGCTTGGTTCTTGCCTCTGGGAAACATATCCTGCCCTTGAGCTCTGGGGCTCTGTGATAAAACGCTCCTGGTTTAGGGCCACGTCAACCTAACAACTGGTCCAAGGAAAGGTGTCCCCTTTATCCACACCGACCCTCTCATACTTTACAATCCTCCTGGTTCTTTCCCTTCCTCCATCAGAATTTCTCTGTACCCCCGGAGGCCTCGTTCAAAGCTGCCTTCTCCATGATGTTCTCAATTTTTCTTCTCTGAAACCCCTGCTTTCCTTGACTCTGAGTCCTTGTACTTCCATGGCCTCTTCCTCACTGTTGATTTCTGTGTCTCTCAACATTAGCCACCACAGAGACCTGCATAATGGCATTTATTTGTTGAGTTCAGTTGACCACTTAACTTCTCAGCAACTGGCCCAAATGATCCTTTACTGATTAAAAACATACACACACATTTACCACCTACTGGACGGTGAATGGTTGACAAGTCCATATTGGCAGCTGGTACAGACCACAGAGGTAGTTAAATGCTATGTCTATCTATGTGAGCATGATGGTCCCAAGCAGCCATCCTGTGACTGCTGAGTCCAAGGCACTTTTCTGAGTCAGCCTGCATGTCACCTTGTGACTTTAGTCTAGGCTGTCCCATAATCGGAGCAGAAGTCCATTTCTGTTCCATTTGTTCCCCTTCTCAGGCCCTTCACCTGTTGTCAAACGTGACAGCCTTTCCTGTGGCGACCACCCTGACTCTAGTCTTCAGCAGTGGTCTTCAGTCAAGACAGGGGTGGGCAGAGTATAGCGCTGCTTCAGCGGGTGGTACCCTCACTCGGAAGGGTGGAGATCACAGTCGAGAGTTAACAGAGAGCTCCACCTTTCCTCATCATCTGCAGAGCCCAAGCTATGAGGGTTCCAGGGCCTCCCTGTTGCCTTATCATGTCTGGTAAAGTGTCTTAAAATGGCTTTGAGGGAGGGATCTAGATAAAGAGGATGTAACTAGGACTGGGATAGTACAGAACTTTCTGTTAGAGCAACACTGAGTGGAGCTAAGAAGAGAAAGTCCTCAGGCCCCACACATTTGTCAGCAGACACCTGAAGGAGGCTCCTGAGGGGGGACTCTGGGGCCATTTTATAAATCCAACCCCAGACTTCCTTCCTTATAGGTGAGAGGCTCTGGCTCAGTATACCTGTGGTTCCCTTTGCTGAAATGTCCCCTTTCTCTCCCTGCTCTGCCTAGGTAGTCTTGGCTCAGCTTTGGATACCGGCTTACACCCATTCACCAAAGCCAGAGGTCTTCCTTGAGACCCCCTGATCAGAGAATAAATAAATAAATAAATGCTCAGCTTTGGATACCGGCTTACACCCATTCACCAAAGCCAGAGGTCTTCCTTGAGACCCCCTGATCAGAGTTATTCTACGTCAGCACTATTGAGATTTCAGGACAGGTAATTTTCCCTTGAGGGGCAACATCACAGAACGTTGAACAGTGTCCCCATCCCCTACCTACTAGAAGTTAGCAGCATCTCTTTTATCGTGACAGAAACATCCTAGCTGTTGTTAAGTGTTCCTTGGAGGTTAAGAGTCATCCTTCTCCCCCCTGAGGGCCTTGCTTCAGACTACTATCTCAGACTCACCCTCTGCTTCCTTTTCTTTGTAACGTTTACTACATTCTTCACACTTCTGGATTTTTTTGTATGTGCGTGTGTCATATGTGTGGAGTGTATGAATACATGGGTGTGTCATATGTGTGGAGTGTATGAATACATGCGTGTGTCATATGTGTGGAGTGTATGAATACAGGTGTGTGTGTGTGTGTGTGTGTGTGTGTGTGTACCCATGCACGTGTGCAGAGGCCAGAGGAGGACATTCCTTCCCCTGCTCTATTACTCTACTTTATTCCCTTCAGACAAAGTCTGCCACTGGACCCGGAACTAGCCTGGCAGCCGGCAAGTCTCAGTGACTCTCCTGTCTCTGTCCCCCACAGTGCTGAGGTTACAGGCTTGTCCACAGCCGTACCCAGCTTTTTACATGGGAGCGCAGGATTCAAACTCAGGTCCCCATGCTTGTACAGCAGTGCTCCTGTCCACCGAGCCATGTCCCCAGCCCATAGGTTTCTGGGTGCTAGTTTAATGCTTGCCTCCTCCCCTAACCATCAGCATCCTGGTGGCAGGGGCAGAGGCCATTGTTCTTTGCTGTGTCTAACCTTTCACCCCGCAATAATGCTGACAAAGGAATGGACAACACAGTCCTCCAGAAGATACAAGGTCTCCTCTCACGGCAAGTGGTCACCTGTGGAAGACAGGCGAGAGGAGGTTTTAGCCCTGAGTGTGTGAGCTTCTAAGTGTCTTCAGTTACGAGACTGGATGGAATTTCGGCTCTCAGCCAAGCACCCCATGGGTAACTAATTAAACTACAACCGCTCCCTCCATAGTCAGGTGCTAAGTGTTCCCAAGAAGGGGCTGATGTAACGCGGGGAGTGACCTTTAAGTGGATCAAAAGTCACATGAATATGGAATGCCTCTCTCCTCTCTCTAGAGAGGTCATTTGACACATGTCCTGAGGGGTAGGGTCACGCTTGAAAGCTTTAGGAAACAGCCCTTTCTAATTCCCACTGTAGTGGGCACAGCCTTCTGGTGTGTGACGTGGGTGGAGAAGGAAGCCTGCCGCTCTGTGGGAGTCGGGGTGTGTGTGCAGGAGTTGCCTGGAGCAGCGTTCTTCAGACTTCAAGGTTCCAGCACGTATGATTTATTGCTTTATTTTTCTCTCCTTCCATCCCTTTTACCACAGGCCAAAGGACCATAAGCAGAGACAAATGGAGATCCTTCAGGCCCACATTTGATTTCTAGGGCTAGGAAAGAATCAACTTCAACCTTTGTTGGCTGAGGAACTACGTGCCGGCCCCTGTGCTAGGAGCTTTGATGTGTGTGATCTCAACAGGCTTCACAGCCCAGTGAAAGTGGGCAGTCCCAAGGGGCAGCCAGCTGTTTTATGTATCGCACAGCTGGAAAAGAGCCACCCACTTCTCTCTGGGCTTCTCTGTGCCTGTCTCAAGCCTGACCTGAACCCCTTCTGCCCTATATTTTTGTTTCAGGAGCCACAGTGAGTGGGTTGTGGCATGATAAAAGCTGTCAAGGCACCGCTGCCCCCCATGACTGCACTTGACTGTGCCTTTGAAAATCTCTTTATGCAACTGCAGCTGAATTTTCCTAGTCTTTGCACTTCTGAGACAGCATAGTGCTCTCTAGAAACAAAAGAAAAGCTGAGAAACAAAGAAGTATGAAGCCAGAAGCACAAAGGATAGAGAAGCATTGTGACTACAGTCTGGGAGACTGGCTGCAAGAGTCAAACCTGATGCCCTGGACACGGGGGTGGGGTGGGTGTAACCCAGTGTTTGCATCAGAGATGAATAGGGGTGCAGGATGATAGGGGGAGAGACAAAAATTACAGAGCAATTTCCATTTTCAGAATCTCGGGAAGAATGTAGGTGAAAGAAGCTGCTTTTGGACCTCAGCAAAACATGCAAGAGTATTCTGAAGAAAGTGAACCAGGAAAGCCTTGGGTCTAGAGTGTCACTTGCAGTCCAAACCTGAGCAGACACACTGTCTGGGCCTCACATTAAGATCTGCACACTAAATGACAGGATCCCAACAACCCTCTCTCCAGATGGTGCCCTGGTTTCTATCAACCGCACAAGGAGAAGGATTCTCTTTAAGAGAAGAGCTAAACAGTGATATCTCCCAGAGGGTGGCCCAGCACACACACGTTTATTAGCCATTGGTTCAGGTGATTTGCGCTGCCATGTTGTAAACCAGTGGTTCTAACTAATGGGTCATGACCCCATTGCGGGGATTGAATAACCCTTTCACAGGGGTTACATATCAGATATCCTATATCAGATGTTTACATTACAATTCATAACAGTAGCAAAATTACAGTTATGAAGTAGCAACAAGATAATTTTATGGTGGGGGCGTTGCCACAATATGAAGGACCTGTATTAAAGGGTTACAGCCTTAGGAAGGTTGAGAACCACTGTTGTAAACTATCACACTGCAAAGGTTGTATTTTTTTTTTTTATAGTTTCCAGAAAACCCGCTTACTTGCTTTTTGCAGCCTACTGGATAGCAAGCTTGCTTTGGTATCTCGTTTTGATGGTATTCTGGCTGCAAAGGCCTTACACACATTCTGCTTTACAAACTTACCTCTTCATTCTTCCTTCCCACCATCCAATCTCTCAATCTAGTTTCTGTCCACTGGTTTTTGGTCTGGGATAGATGGGGGCTTGGATGTACTTCATGGGGACCAGTGGGTTTAATCCTCACTGCCTGCTCTTGACACTGGCTGTATCAATCGTTATTTTATAGTGTCGGTGGCTTGTGTTTCGTGTGTTTTATGCCATCTTTCCATCTTACTCTGAAGCCTTAAAGCACAGTCTCAGATTCCTGGGAATAAATAACAAGTGATTTGAAGCTTTTTGTACTCCTGCCAGATTCCATTATCTAGAAATATGTTGGCAATCTTATATAAACATATGTTTAGACTTCTATAACTAAATGTATCCTTACGTATGACTTATTATTATAGCTGAATATGTCTATAAAATGTAACTTTATTTACAGGTGTGATCTATTATATGAATCTACATTTTTATTCAGTCTTATGTGTACTCAACAAAGAATGTGTCAGATTTTCCCCCTTGGGAATAAAATCCTATTATTTGTGAAGATTTAGCCGAGATGAAATTAGTGTAAGCAGTAGTTACTCTATTGAATAAATATTTCCAACATATAGAACATTCTAGTGCTCAAGGATGATGTTATGAAATATTTCAAGGTGACCTTAGCTCCAGAGCTAAAACAACAACAACAACAGCAACAACAACAATAATGTGTTGGCTGGTCCAAGTGGATATCTTACAGAAGAAAGTTGGGAGTGGGGTAGGTGTGGGGTGAGTTTTGAAGCCAGATGATGGGTTCAAGGTCTTTATTTATTGGCTTTGTGATCTTGGGACAGCTACTTCATCTTCCTATGGGTTCTGGGTAAGATAGAGATCTCATGAACTCTTGCATAGTTTGTTATGCATTGAGTGATTACATATGCAAGCACACTTGACTGTAAATTGTTATACATTTTAATTGCTGAGCAGTCAATCCTATTTGATTTGTTCTGTTTTACCCCATTGCTTCCAGTGCTTTAGGGCAAACACTTGCTGGATGATAAATTAGTGAATTCGTGAGACAGTATTTTACAATTATCTTGCCAGCATCTCAGTCCTTTATAGATACTTATAAAAATCAATGATTTATACATTGTTCCTGGGTAACCAGAGCACTTGAATCAGAAATGAAAGTTAACTATTTGGGCTTTCAAGTCTCCTGATTTGGGACATTTAATAACAGCATTTATTATGAGAAATTGTCATCATCTTGCTCAAATACGAGATCAGAGATTTTTTTTTAAAATCTTAGATCTAGATTTAAATCTTAGATTAGATACAGGCAACTGAAGCTCAGAGACACTTAGAAGCCAATAAATTAGTATAAGTTACTCCCTTTGTAGGTCTAGAGTAATGGATGCTTGTACCGAAAGCATACTCTTAAAGTATGTTTCTAAAGACGTGTTAAGCATCATGGATAATACAAGACAAAAGCTTGTCCTTAATGAGCTCATAATCTAGACTTACTCAAAATGCTTCATTGCACTGAGGGTTTAATGCTGATCTGGAACCATAGGGCCAGTAGGGTGCTTCCATGGGTGGCTTTGAGAAGAGGAGCTGGCTTCGTGTCATAGGAGAGCAACCGATGAGTTTTTAAGAAGGTGCTTCTGGGAGAGATTGGAAAGCGAGTGTGGGGAGCAAGAGAATGAGATAACTCAATTGAGGGTAGAATTGTGCTCTCATCCTGTCCAGGACAGATTAGACTTATCCTGTGGGGGAAGCATGGGGGATGAGCCACACATCAGTTTGCTCTTGTCTTGAACGTAAAATGAGGCTTTTTATAGTCTTGTGCTACTTGGCCATTGGCTAAGGGCCATGATGGGCAGGGTTAGAAGATATGGTGACCACCAGGCACCTTCAGCCTTTGAGAATATGGCCAAACTAACCCCCAGAGCCAGGGAATGTGTTTCTGAAGAGAGTAATAGGGATGGGCCACTAGAAGCAAAGACACAGAAGGAAGCCAGGTGTGCAGAAGTAATAATCAGAGTCTCCGGCAACCTCGGGGAAAACCCAGCAGCTCCCATAGCACTTGGTCGATGGTGGAGGTTTGAGGGAAGGAAGGGCAGTACAGGCATCCTTACAGCATGGGTAAAGGACGTGATCT